ATTTACTGATAATTTTTGAATTATTCAACTGATTGTCTTAAAACTTAAGATACTGAAAATCGACAGAATCTTATTCTATTTTGATCACTTTATTATACAGGTGCTTTAGGGTTGACAATATTTAGATTCAGACTGACTATTTCTAATTTTAATCATTAAAATAACGTTACTGTCTGTGCTTTTTACTTTCCCATATACATACGTATATACGGAGTTCATGTACGTAGAATAGGAAAAATTATGTAATGCTGCGGGAAAAACGGCCGATTTTCGGCAGAAAAAATTCATTGCCGAGCCCTGATAACGAAAAAGTGGAGAAATCCAGTTGCTAAATTAAGGGAGGAAATCCTCTAACACGTGGTGTTGCCAGAATTCCGGTTTTGGGGATCCTTGATACCGAAAAATCAATTGACGGAAAAACGTCTGTAAACACTACTTGCGCCTAATCCATGCGTGCAAGAGTTTTTCCAAATTGAAGAATGTCCATCTGGCTGGAGTCGAAGTTTTGAGATTTTGAAAACCGTTCTTCAAAATTTTGGTACCATACCAAAAGTGTAAAGAGAAAAATAGAAACCGTTTTTGAGAAATTCTTGTTTTTTATGTTTTTTAATATTGTATTTCACACAAAATTTGCCGAAAACTACAGCAATTTTCAAAAAATGTACATGATGTTAATGTAAGAACCAATTATAAGGAACGATTGTCATTTGAAGAAAAAATCGCCATCTATAATATTGTAATTGTAGGAAGATCCCGAAAGATTCAGTTTTGCAATTTATGAAATTGCAGAGTTAACAGTGAAAATCGAATCGACACCATCTTTATAAGCGTGCTTCACTCTAATCTTACAAGAAATTTAAAGAAAAATTTTGAGCCATTTTTGAAAATATCCCTGGGGTTTCATGTAATAACCCTTAAATTTAAAGTGTTTTTGAAAAGCGCAGAGCTTTGAGTCGAGCCAGATCGACCGGGGAGTATCCATTTCGAGAAAACATCCTTGAATACGAGTAGTGTAGGGCCTAGTGTTGTAGATAGGTGAGCGGGCGGACGTTTGAGAGAGAAAAAAAGAATTTGGACAAATTTGGGCTCTATTATAAGCATTAGTTTACATGAATGCTTTAAGTTAAATATGCTGCAATTATGTGCATGTACAATTTCTTAATTGTATAATTGACTATGAATGTTATTATTTAGATTAGTTGAACACATATCTGGCAATCCTCATTGTTATTTGAACAATCCGAACTGTTAATTCAACAATGCATTTTTCTCAGTGAATCATGTAACGAAAGTATCATATATCTATTATGATCACAATTTTTTTATACATAACAGTAGGATACATATTGAAAACCTACATTAATAAATTAAAATGCTATTTTCGACAATTTCGAAAGTGTTTATAATTTTAGTCTATAATAAATGGGAAATACTCTTTCTTTTTCTTTCTCGCTACAGAGAGGCAGTAGAGAGAATGTTATGTAATGCTTCGCCAAAAAACGGCGAATTTTCAACAGAGAAACTCTTTATTACAGGTCCCTGGTAACGAAAAAGTGGATAAATCCAAGTGCTAAATTTAGAAAAAAATCCTCTGTCACGTAGTGCAGCCAGAATCCATGTTTTGCGGGTCCTTGATAACGAAAAATCGAATGACGGCAAAAGGTATGTCTGTCCGTCCGTCTTTGTACACCTAGTGGCTAAACTGTTCACGCGGTTTTCTTCAAAATTGATATCCCCCAGTCGATCTGGCTAATACCGCGGTCCCTGGACTTTGAAACCGATATTTTAATTTTGGAGGTACGTTATATGAAGCCCCTGAAACATTTTCAGAAAAAAATGGCTCTAATGTTTTTTATTAATTTTTTGTTGGATAGTGTGAAGGACGTGTATAAATGTATATATGTATGTATAAATGTATATATTAGATTAAGAAATAAATATTTGTGTTTAAAAGAGAATGGCGCAGGTCTCATATTCGTTATAAACCCTGATTCTTCGAACATTGTAAATGTTCACAATTTTTTCGTCGTCTTCATACAACTAAAGTATTACAAATAGTTCTTAAAAATATATCTTGAAATAAGGTCTTCTACAATTTTTCGAATCTTTGAGTACTTTTGGCATAATTGTAAATGAAAATACGGGGGAGAAAGTACGTGCTGTTGTAACACCACTAGTTGTGAATTAATTTGAATGTTATGACATAATTTTAGGCAGGAAACTGTTTAATTTCAAAGTAAATAACTTTTAAAAGCAAAAATAATTGAAAGAGGTTTTATTAATAAGGATTACATTATCCCGCGCATTTTGTAATACTGAACTAAAGTGCACTAATTTATTAGTGTATGTTATTAGCTCAGCTCAATGAAATTATTCTTCTCTTAATTATTATTAAATTTCTCCTCAAAATATAGAAACAAGTACATCGTTTATAATATAAATTTGAAGACCTACGAATGAAATGTATATTAAATATATTTTTAAAATATTTGTTCCAAGATGGAGGAGGGCAGTTGCCCTCTCTTGTCCCCCCTGAATCACCTCTTCGTACGTTTACGAGAAAGTAAAAATCTAGTCGTCAGAAGCAAACCTCTCACTAAGCAGCGACCCAGTGGTTACGTTTAGGCACACAATGAAAATCCAGCGCTTTGACCAGTGGTTGAGGACTAGTAGCTCCCGCTATGTAACTTTTTGATAGCCATCGGGAGAACTTATTTTGGGACTGTAAACTAAATAGCGTGTTGAGCCGTGCTGACAAACGTTGCGGTACCTGCTGAGTCAATTAAGCCGTTTTCGTATGCTACGTGTGTCCTCTTTCTTAGAAGATAGCAATAGGGATGGAAATAACCTGCTGGACTTCTTTACTCGAAGCTTACAAAACATTTCAATTTATTTTTTCAAAAACTCCCCCCCCCCTTTGGCCTCAGATTCCGGAAAGGTCGCTTAAGAGCAGCTTATGTAAAAGGAAGTTGAAGGGCAGGTCTCACGTTCGTTCGTTGAAATTCAGTTTTTCTAAAAATCGCCAAAGTGCATTTTATTTAATGTCTTTCTACTTCTATAATATTGAAGATAGAGATATTTTCCTCAATTAAATCTGTTCTGTAATGCCTAATCTTGAAATAAGGTCAAGTTTAATTTTTCAATAATAGGAGTAGTTTTCGTGTAATTTTGCTCGAAGTGAAGGCAATTAAATTTTTTTTTCTCAAAAACCGCTCAAAATTTTAAGTTTTCTCCTCGTGTGTATCAAGGGGCAATAAAAATATGGCGTTTGTCCGATTAACGGTAAACTCTCCGTATTTTCCAAAATTGCAAACAATTAACATGTCAAAACAACAAAATTGGTGATAGCAATTTTTGCCGTAAACAAAGTATGTTCTAAAACATTAAAAAGGGTTATGTACAATTTTTTAAAATAGTTTTCGCGTGATGTACTTTAAATGTATGCTATTTCTAGAAAAACCGTGTTTTAATCAGGAAACGTCTTAGTATAATGCACTCTCCATACCTCGTAAATAAGTTAGGAGAGTATAAAACAGATGAATGGAGGGTTTTCATTGGTTTACGCGAAAGAAGTTTAAAAGAGGTTTTGCGAAACATGGTAACATTTTAGCATCTGTACCACATTCTGTAGCACCATGCTATAACACATTCCGTTCATCTTAAGGAGATGTATGACAATCTTAAATTACTACTCAAAAAGGTAAATTATGAGGAATATAAATGGATGATCTGCGGATTTAAAGGTTTTGTGCATGTTGCTAGTACAACAACAGCCTTTCACCAAGTACCCGTGTCACATTTTTGAATTGGACAGCCGAGACAAAAAGAATCATTGAACAACACGAGATAGGCCTAGAAGAAACACACTGATTTCAGGTTCCAAAATCATATAAAACATGGCTTAGTAGATCCTAACAAAATTCTGTTTCCTCTCTTACACATTAATTTGGGATTAATTTAGTAAGTCACTCGATATAAATGGAAGTTTTTTAAATACCTGACCAACACATTTCCCTCTTTCTCAGATGGAAAAGTCAAAGAAGATTTAGTTGTAAGACCGCAGATCAGAGAACTAGCTAAAGATGAACATTTTGAAGGATGTATGACACCTCAGAAAAGGGAAGCTTGGATTGGCTTCAAAGAAGTAGTTCATAAGTTCTTGGGAAATTATAAAGATCCAATCTATGAGTATTATGTAAATAATATACTGAAAAAAATATGAATCCTTAGGATGTACGGATGAGTCTGAAAGTGCATTTCCTTCACTCCCATTTAGACTGCTTTCCAGGAAACATGGGGGCAGTGAATGAAGAACAGGGTGAGAGATTTCACTAAGATATTAACGACATTGAAAGGCGCTACCAAGGGTGATGGAATACATCAATGATGGCTTACTACTGTTTGTTATAGCAACAAGATGATCCTACTAGAGAACAAGTGGACCAAGAAGCGTTTTGTCTAAACGATAACGGTCCTATTAACATCCATGCACATACGCGTGAAAACGGTGATTATAACTGCAAAGATTAACAGTACTATTAAAGTAATGACCTTAAGTTTATGTGTTTTTAACGAAGTTATTAAAAGATAATATAAGGTAAACTGTATTTCGGTCGTAATTTTGTGTTGATGAAATCTTGTTTTCAGATTTTCAAGTTAAAGATATTATAGAGACTTTTATATTTTATATGTGTTTTTTTAAACCTGATGTGATACGGGAAAATGGAAGTCTTTTCTGTAATCCTTGCACTGTAAAATATACAAAATCAGTGATATAATTGTCCTGTCGTCGAAATAAACAAATCCCTCTCGAAATAAACAAAGCCCTCGCATCTAGCGAAACGAGGGCTCAAGAAAACGTGCGCGGATAATACTAATTATTTAAGAGCTTCAAACGTGTATTATGGCCGCGTTACGTGGCGAAGAGGGGCATTCAGAATACTCCAAATTTGTGTTAGGTTATTTATATACGTATCCTCAAACATTATTGTTGACATTGCCAATAATATATCGCGTTTATTCCGTGGCAGTAAATCACACGGATTCTTTCTGACAACTTGCTGGACTATCTGTTCCCCGTTACTGAAATAAAAGAAGATCATGGCAGCACGTGACCACCTTATAATAATCTCTGCACGTGACAGATTGGGCGGCAGGAGCGGGAGTCGAACAGGTCGTGGGGGTGGTCGGTGACCGTCGTGACCGTCACAGGTTATGGTTGCAGCAGTGTCAAACAACCCCAACAAACCCTTCTGGTATTGTCATTGTTCATAAATTTAACAGATACAGATATTGACAATAATCTCGACGATTAAAGTCGATGAATGTCACGTTGAATATCAACGATTAAAATGTCATTGTTAGACAAACGAAGTGCACAAAATGTTACATATCACTTAATAAACTTTGCTGTTGTGTGTATTGTTACGGGATTATTTTCTTCGCAATGTTGCGCTCTTTCAGCACAATATACTAGCTTTCGATGTAAACGTGTCGATTCTTGTGTGTGTATGTTTGAGAATGAAGAGGGATATGATTTATCGGAATTAAGCGCTGTCAAAAACGGGTTAGTAGTATATTTTTTCTTTATTATTTTCAATAACAATGACAATATTTCTCCTAATTTGTTGCTAAGTTGATAATACTAGATATTATAGCATTCTTTTAATATAACATGTTTTTAAACATTGTTCTGTCATTGTTATTTATGTTGATTTGTTATATTTGTATGTTAAAAGTACCCCACTCTTCTTTATATGTTTGTATGTATTAAAAAACATTTTCTGGTTTTCATGTGCTCTGTTTTTTGTTATCTTGTACTCAGTTTGTTTATTATTTTGTTTGTGTAATTTTGTATCCCAACAGTATTGCATACTTCTACATAATCTTGAACTGTTTGTGTGTGGTGCTACAGTGTTTACAAAATTACTTATAAAGAGACTGAGGCATATAGCAGTGTATGCTCATTTCTGATTTCAACATTTTATATCCTTAGTACCTGTATTGAAAATAATCCAGACCTTTTGTTTGATAGAATGTAACACCATAATAGGGCTCTAAAGTAATTGAGTGATTGTTAATAGTAGTTGAAGACTTTTTAAGTTTCAGTAAGCAGTTCATATGTATGAAAATTTATTGTTATTATTGAGGAACTGCATAAGATATCTTATTGTGTGTTGTGACATTTCAGGTTGAATGCCACCAAAAGTAATCTCACCTTCTATTTTCATCCATGCACAGACATAAGTATAGGAAATAATACTGATTTGAATGATTGTTATAAGGGAGCCTCAGTAAGTTTTCTTCTTTCTTTATTTGTTTGTGTACCGTGTTTTTATTACAGGCATCTCTTTGTATTTATTAAGGAAATGTACTTGTAGTAATGGAGAGAAAAGTGTACAAAATGAAACTTGTGAGAGGAAATTTTATTTACATCATATTATTTGTTGAATTACATTTATCTGTGATGTCTGATAGTATTGACTGCAGAATTTTTATTCAGACTGAATGATTTTAAATTTAATATCAATGTTTTATTATAGGTTAAAGAAAATTTGTTTTTTTAAAAGCATGACATCCACTCTGAGCCAGATGCAATCCCGCTCCATATAGGCAATAAAAAGAGATAAATTTGAAGGTTATGGTAGAATATATAGAAGAGTTGATAATAAGAATACATTAAAGATATACTTGCTTATTTAATATTCACATTTCTCAAAAAGTTTCCATTAATTCATTATTGATAACTTTCCTCACTCCAAAATACAATTCTTTGAATAATTATTGAAAATGAATTATACATTTTGATTAATAATGTTTTTCATTTTTATGATAATTTTGTATCCGTTTTGGTTATAAAAATAAATTATTTAACAAAGTTTAATATTATCGATTCCAAGTCAGTTATATGGTAGAGTCAAAATCCAGTTTGTAAATGTAAATGGTACATTTGGGTTGTGTTTCAAACAAAGAGTTGTCTGTGTGTATTTGTTTGTAGTATTTTCATTTATATTGTATTTACTTTGGGACAGACTATTACTATTAATTTAATTATGTTCTTTATTGCTTTTACATGTATTTTGATACAATTTGCCTGTCTTATGTTTTTGTCCCTCCTTGGTGTTCCCTTTGTTGTATCTGTGTATTTATGTTATTCTAGAAATGTCTGAAATGTTTTGTTTTTAACTTGACGGCATTGTTAATATTCAGTTTCTGTCTTTTTCTATATGTTAAATTCATGTTTAAATGTTAGATGTTTTTTCAATTCAAATTTTGAAAACCTATGTGATGAATCTCATAAGCATTAGGTGCAATTCTTCGAATGCAGTAAATATGTTCTATAATACAGGAAAAATGCAACCCATTCAGCAAGTGGAAATTTTTATTAATTGTTGTTCAACCTTTTCTTTTCGGAAGAAATTCTCTTTCAGCAGATGTTTTATGTAATTTTTTTTCTAGTGATAAAATTTACTTCTAAATTCTTTAATCTTACTTTGTATTCATTTAATGTTGCAGGTATGTTTGTATAATTCAACCGATCAAACTTACACTAATCTGGGACTATCACATGAAGTGAGAGTCACTTCTAGTGGCCTAAAAGGTCCTGTTGCCTTTGTTTACTCTCATAACAATAGGTTAGTTTATTGTGTAACATGAATCCAGAATTATTGAGTTTAATTGTTAAATATAATTCACTGAGTAAGTAATTGTGATTGCAGCACAACAACTGTGATGATGAATAATTGTGCAGACAGTAATTCTTTGCAAGTGGGCTCAGGGAGTGGTGCTAATAATTATGTAAGTTTATTTCTTTTCTGTGCTTCTTTTTCTTTCTTTTTTTCTTTCTCATTTCCATTTTTATTTTCCAAAGTAAAAACTTCTATGAAATTCAAGATTATCTGTTTTAGATTTTCTTAAAATTTGTCTATTGCTTGTGTTTCTTCATAAATAAGTTATTTTGTATCCTTTATATGTTTGAATAGGAGCTGCTGCTAAATTCACCTTCTGCATGCCGCCAGCGTGTGTATGTTAAGACAGAGCCACCTGATCAGCCTCAGGGTCATCTATCCACGGGCTCTGTTCTTGTAATAATGTTCATAGTGTTCTCCAGCGTCTACTTTGTGGGAGGAGCTCTTGTCTTGAAACTTTTAAGAGGAGCTGAAGGCCGGGAAATGATTCCCAATTACGACTTCTGGGTCAGTCTCCCAGGGCTTGTCAAGGTACTGTGGCTCAGGTGGTATGAAGAAGCTAATAAAACACTTCAAATACCCTACCTAAATATCCTTAAAAAATCCTACTAATACCCTACCTGCAAATTGAGGTTTGAATTTCCAGGGCTGTGAATGAATGTTGAGTTATCCATGACAGAAATGGTTTTTAATTAGCAAAACTAGAACAAAATATTAATTCATTTGGTTTTAATCCATCCTACAATATCACAGTAATAGGATTCCCAAATTTTGATTCATGTTGTCTTCTTCACCCGAATTACAATTTAATATCTTTAATAATATACTTATTTTCTTACATTTTTATGTTTTATTACTGAATCTGTATTGTGAATCATTTGAAAAGGTGTTCATTCATATTTTTATTTTCTCATATATGCTTGAATATTCTGAGTAATATATGTAAAGAAATTTGTAATGATGAAGAAAATCAATTGATCAATTTAGTGTGATAAATTGACCACAAATATCAAAAACACCCAGGTCTCACTAATCTTATTCCACTACCTCTCTTGTGGTTCATATAATCTATGTTACAAATTTCAAATATACATTTCAGTTAATTGAAAGTTATGCGGCCATTGGCTATTCAAGAGTTGCTTGTGAGATACTTAGAAACTAGGGAAAAATCAAAAATAAATTAAACCATTTCTGCAAATTGTGGCATAAGTCAGTTAACTGCTGCACATTTTTGTCAGTGGTCATATTTGGTAATTATGAAATTTGTGTGCGGATTTGTGTAAATGAGTATTGGTAGGTCTGGTTTGTTACTTAAAAGTGAGTATCGGAGACTTGTCTTCACTTTTTCATTGTTTGTGTGAAACGTTTTACATGATGAATAGAAAATTCTCTGCAGAACAATGTGTGTTTTGCTTTAGAGATGTGTTTGAAATTGTCTTTTATTGCAAAGATCCCACTCCCACATTCACTGTGCAGGCAAGCCATCTACAAATTAAATTGAAGGGATTGAAACAACTGGTTTTTGTTGCTGATTTACCACATTACAGGCGTCAAAAATCAATAACTTCTGAAGAAAATCTACAGAACATTGTTGAGGCATTCATTCAATCACCCAAGAAATCTGCATGAAGAGCTGCTAAGGAACTACAATTTTCTGATAGAAGTTAAGGAGAATGTTAAAAATATTACATGCAAAACCCTATTAGCCTACATTACTACATACCCTTAATGAGAATGATCCTGATCCAAGAAGTGAAGTCTGTGAGAGATATGTGATCCAAAGTGAAAGTGATCCAAACTTTTACAAAACAATGTGTGGTCTGATGAAGGAAGTTGTAAGTTAAATGGTATGGTTGACTAACACAACTGCATGTATTGGTCTTCTGAAAATCCACGATTTGTTATTGAGGAGGAGTTTATCGTACTTGGAGAGTTACTGTTTGGGCTCGTATGTGCAGCAAAGGAGTGGTTAGCCCTTACATTTTTGATGAGACCATGACTGCTGAAAGTTATCTTGAAATGTTAAGAGAAGTTATGATTGAATGAGACTATGCATTGTACATGAAGCAGTACAAAACAACCTTATTCAGCGACAAGAATATGCCCCACCACATTATGGATCAAATGTCCATAAATTTTTAGATACCAATTTTGAAGAGTGGATAGGAAGGCAAGGTAAAATCAATTGGATTCCAAGATCATCAGAGCTCTCACAATGTGCTTTTTCATTGTGGGAAAGGATAGTTTACACTACAAAATGAGAAAACCTACAACATTTAAGGAATTTGATTGAAGAAGACTTTGAAAAAGTTTGTGGTAACTATGAGAAGATATGGGACAAGATGTATAAATAAATATTTAAACAATGTCTTAAATGGCTAGATAACAACTGAGGTAACTTTCAACAATTAAGAAAGATAAATTACATTGTATAAATCATGAAAGCTACAATACAATATAATGTAATTTTTGGTTAACTGACATGTCTTGCTCTGTATTTTGACTGAAAAATGCAAATAATTGATTGTGTTCTTCCTCCTATTCTGATACCGCAAGTACCGACTGAATTCTCACACTCCGAGCATCACTGCTTACGACACAACTGACATAATGCTTAAGCAAGGCTTCAAGGAAGATACTATCCAATATTAAATATTTGTTATTCACATGTAGAATTAACAGAAACTTTTTTTATATTTTTGGTATGGAAAGATTTGATGCCTATCTATTTATACAGTGCAAGTGGTTTATAAATGTGCCGATCACACTGGGATTTGGGGCCTCTGGGAGTGGAGGTGGATTTTGCTACTGGAATGTATAAATTGTACTAATGCTGTAGTAGATGCTGGATCTGCTCACCCTGGATACATTTTTGACGTCTAAATGAGTTTTGGTTCACTCAGTAAAGGACATCCTGTGGAATTGCAGAGTTCTGTTCCTGTGTATTGTGTCTTAATTCTTCTTTGAGTGGGGATATATAGTATATATGCGATCTTTCAGAAATCCCCAAAGAAGGAAATCACAGTCAGATCAGAAGAGCATGTAGGCCACAAACCATGTGTGATAATTCTATCTCCATAAACGGCATGTAAAACCCTTGAGAAAACTGAAATAGTGTATGCAATAGTAAGGTCCTGTTGAAAAGCACCGTAATTTCTCTTTTCATTTGACAGCATTTTGAAGAAAGGCTCCAGGATACAATGCAAATAACAGTTTGACACATTTTATATATGTGTCATAGACAAACACTTTCTGTTTGTGCGTGAACTTCAAACAAGCCATCATAAACCAATTATTCAACAAGACTGGATAGTATGTCTTTTGGAGGGGGGTCATGAAAACCTCCCATCCACAGCTTACCCAGGACAGTTCAGAGCACCATTCCTCAGCAAGTGAGGACTTACCATCTGATCAGAATTTTCCACGATTGTGGTGCACTAATCAAATAGTCGCACTGTACTTTACTATGTTATTGCAGTATTTGTGAAAACATTTTTTTTTAATTATTTAATTTGGTGCAGTGTTTAGGAGAGTATTTTAATTGTCGTTCTTAGCAATGTGTATGTTACTCTTCAAAAACCATTTGTGAGGTTTTGTTCAGCAGGTTTTTCACTGCTGCAGGCCACTTGTTGTATGTTATTTTTGTCACAAAATTAGTTTTATCATCTATAATTTTCTCAATTTCTCTCTTTCAGGAGGGATTCCTTTTCACCTTGAGTGGCTGCAGAACTGCTCAAGCCTATGATAGAATTTAGTTAAAAAAAAAATGTCTTTGCTCTTCATTTTGGCAGAATCTCAACTTGTGATGGGAGATTCCTTGCCTCAAATTGGCTCATGGGGTTTAAAGGTCCTGCCTAGAGGTGTGGATTGAAATGTGATTAATATTTACTGCTAAATTCTCTTTTTTAATTTGTTCTTATATTGGTGTTAATGAACAAGACATTGATGAATTTGTTAATAAAGGGTGGACTGCAGCATTAAAAAGTACATGTCGAGAGAATGTTTGTGAATAGTGAAATGAATACTTTTATTTCTTAAAAGCAATAGGAGTGAGAATGAAAAAAAGTACTTGCCCTGCAGATCCATGTGATAAACATCTTATACTGGTACTTCACTTTTAGGTTCATACTTATCTTAAATTTTTTATTCAAACATTTTGAAAAACTGTTTTTGTACATCATATAAAGTTATATAATTGTTAGAAAGTGCCATTGCTTTTTTGCATTAGAATCTCATTCACTTTCTTAGTTGCTGATTATTTTATTACATTTGTTCAGGTATTGTATTAGTTAATGTCTTGTTAGAATAATATTTTTTTATTGTTTTGTTTTCAAGCCATTGACCAAATTGTGATTCAGTAGTAATAATTAATATTTTAAAGAAGTTTGTTGCTAAGAGAAAACTCATCTGATGTACAGTGTAAAATTTGTATATTTCTGAAAAATATTTGCAAGTTCATTGAATAAGGTTAATATTTTGTTGGTCTGTTGTTATACATGCTTGTTCATGAAGCAAATGCTTGACTATGTTAGTAAAAGACAACAATAAAACATATTTGAAATTGAGTTTCTATAGTCATTAATTTTTTCTTCACAAAATATTTTAATAATTGGCAAGTGTCAATTACTTTATAATATTTGTAGTATAAGAAAATCTGTTACTCACTAAAGGATTCAAATGATCACAGTAGGTACTGAAAAAGTGTAGAATGATAAAGTTTATCAGTTTTATTTTCATTTGTATCTCTACAATTGTGAATGCCATCATCTGGGGGGGGGGCACCAGGTCATATCCCATATCCTGCCCCATCCAATTTTTGATTGAAAACTTGATTCTTTTTAGCTTATAAATGTTGTATGTTGTTGACTTTATATACACAACTCTTTATGAACAATTTTTGTGAATGAATTATATGGGAACAGATTTTCATGTAACTACATATTTTTACTGTAACAAGATACATGCAGTCAATTATTTTTATAGCGTTTGCCAGACATTCTGTATAAATTTCAATGACGTTTTTTTTATTTTTTAAGTGTTAGTGTAATTACAAATTTTACTCAAAACTACTTCTATAATTTATTTGGTATTTATACATCGAAATTGAATGTTTCAGATAGTAGTTTGCCAATATATTACACTAGAATCATCTTTTTTAAAGCAATGTAATACGTCTGTGCTTCAATGACTACCAGACCAACCAAATTGTCACACTTTGTGACTTCAACCAAAAATTGTTACCCAGCTTCGTGGAAAACGGTTACTCAAATTCAAGGATAAGCAGATGTTTGCAAAGCAGAAGGAATTAGCAGAAGGAATTAGCAGAAGGAATTGCAACAATATACTTGTTCTCATTTCATGTTTCTTAGAGCCCATGTATAACTCAATTGAAATTGACAATTCTTTTATAGATAATTGTATTTTGCATGGGTGGATTATTTGAGGGAGAGGGTGTAACCCCGTCTCCCTCCCCGATAGTTATTTTTTGTTCTCTCAACTGTTTATCTGCACACTGGCCTCTCATGAACAATATTGTACATATTTTGTATATCTTTTGTTTCAAATTTAACTCTTATTGTGCAAAGAAGACTAGCTCATCTGTAGAGATATATCTTTTTTACAACTTCTCCAAATTAATTTTAAAATCTAAATAGCCAAGTTTTGTGTACAGAAGTTTGAAAATGCTTGTATGAAACAATTTCAAACACTATACTGAATTTTATTTTAGACATTTTCTTATTTTTCTTACTTTTTATGGAAAAGATAAATCATGTACACATACATATTTTCTTTTCTTTTATTACAATAAATTCCGTTCCCTAATTATAAAAAATCAAAAAATCAATTTTATAAGTTAGTCTGCCCATTGGACTATTTGCCAATAAGCAGAAGAATTGTTGAGAGACAAAGAATATGATGAAAAACCAATACTGAGAACAAAATAGGGCCTAATTCTTGTAGATGAAGAAGGAGGGGGAAAAATCAATTTTTAGTATTTAAAAAATGTGTTTCTTTTATGACATTACAACCATTGATTTTGCTTTTGGACATTGTTTCTTATTTCCACTTGATATTTACTTTTTTACTCAGAATAGGCTTTTAAAATGGTCATAAGTAAAAATTAGCAAATAGTGTTGGATTGTTATTAAAAGATATCTCCACACATGTTTTTTTTATCCTTCTAATTTCATTTTACTTCTTGCTTTCTTCTAACTTCTCGAGTAACTATTTCCAGTAATAAAAAATTGACATTGAACATTGGCAACTTGTGGAATTATTTACTTTGTACAGCATTCTCGTTACCATTACCATACATGTTACAATTATGTAGAATTTGAAAAACAAAACAAAAGCACTGAATAATTATGTGGCTTTTAGCTTTTGATAAAACAATGCAGTTTAATTTAGTTTATAACAAAAGATATGATACATGCATTGACACTTCATAAAATTATCTTGGGACCTATTTTACTGTCTCACATACTAAATATGTAGTATAGGAAAAGTTAAGTAATGCTACAGAGAAAAACTGAATTTTTGGCAGAAAATTCATCTGTGTAGATCCTTTATACCATGACCATGGATAATTCATGTTGCCATATGTAGTAAATTATTTTCTCTAACATGTTGTGTAATCAGAATTCACTTATTGTGGGTACTCGATACCAAAAATTTGGTTTATTATAAAATGTTTGTCTGAACAACGCTACAGGTTAAACTGTAAGCAGGATTTTTATCAAAATTGATATTTCCCAATAGATCTGGCTGATATAATGGCCCTTGAATTTGAAACCAATGTTTTAATTTTGGGGGGGCATTTAATGAAGCCCCAAGGATATATTAAATTTTTTCTCAAAAAAGACTCCAAAATTTTTATTAAACTTTGTCAGATAGCATGTAGAATGTTAATATTTGCATTACCAGTGATTTGTATATGTTATTACATTTGTGTGTACAAGTTCTTCAAATGATATCTTATGAAGTTTCTCGAAAAGAATATTTTTCTGTGAAAATGTGAAAATTCTGCATGTTTAGAAATACTTGAATATTTTCTTGAAAACAGCTTCTATTTTTTTTTCTTTAAACATACGAATAGGGCTAAATGTACCAAATAAAATGACACTAGTGCTATTTTGATGGATTTTTTAAAATTACATAATTGTTTTTTTTAATGTCATGTTAATATTAAAATTACGGTCATGTTCTATACATAATTGCATTTGTTAGCACAAGAACTTCAAATGATTTCGGATTAAATTTCTCTATAACTCAAAACTTTTATGTGAAAATGATCTGAAAATAGCACGTGTTAAAAAACGCTCAAATGAGATTTTCTCAAGAATGTTAACAGCATATTACAAGATATCTACATATAGTATGGATATGATAGTTTACAACATATTGGTAGTGCTCTTGGCTGTGCTGGTAATGCTGACGTTTCGACCACTTTGTCATGCTCTTCCTCGGGTGAGCAGACCAGCCCTGAGGAAGACTACAACAAAATGGTTAAAACGGCATCACAGCCTTCAACACGGCATCAGCAAAGAGCAGCAAAGAACACTTGCAAGACTCTGGCCACTGAAGCCTCTGACATCACTTTACAACACAGTGCCAGATGACATTAAATAATTAAAATCGATACACAAATTTAAGTTAAAAGTAAAATATTTTCTGCTGCATAACTGTTTCTCTACAATTAGAGACTCTACTGTCTATCAAAAAGAAAAAGAATATTTATGCTGCGTATGAGGTAAAAATTTAAAGAAATATTTGGAGCTGTTTCTGAGAAAATGATTGTTTAAAATTTAAAAATCGACGATATTTTCAGCAATTTTATGCAAAAAATACCCATATTTTTGAAAAATTGAATATGACCTTATTTGAAAATCTGTTTCTAATGAATACATTTCATTAAGAAAAAATTATCTTCATAATTGTTGTTGTAAGAAGACGAAAAAATTTAGAATTTTCGCAATTTTCGAAAAATCAAAGATATTAATGAAATGCAGAAGTCTTATTCATGTCTCTTTGAAGAAACATAAGGTGAACAGAGAACTAAATTCTAATTGCAACAAGAGGTAAATTAAATTTTGTTTCATATTTCAAGTTTAAGTGAAATTCATATGTAAGATGCAAATCGAAATTGATTTAAGAAAGTTGTAATACACACTTCCTCATAAAACTAATCGTCACAAATTGCAGAACATCATCCTATTCCAATTGAAGAACTGAATTTTACTAGAATCCATTGTGTGGTGAAATTCCATTATCTCTACTCTAATTTATTTTTATTCTCGATTCTGCTAAGTTCAAAAAAAAGTTTTTTCTCTCAGTAAATTAATAAAAATGAAGATTTAATAGTAATTGGTAGCACATGAGAGGATGAATTATAGGAGAATAACAGGAAAAAATAGAAGAGTTTCAGTTGTTTCAATGTTTATTGATCAGGACATTGATATGATGTTCAAAAAAACATTATAACTTTTTTATAAGAAATACTAGAGTTATTTTGATATAAAATTATAGCAACCTATAGTTAATTAAATATTTCATACATATAAGTTAACAAGAACACAACACATATATATCAAACAGTTCTTTAGAACATAATGTTCAACAGTCTAAAACACAAGTATGTTTTTTTTGAATTATTAATCTATACTGCCTATAAAATATCAGGTACGTATTTTATACGTGAAACACATGCATAATAAAAGAAAACAGCTCTTATTATACTGTGTTTCTGATGATTAACCGAAGTTCAGTTTCAAATTTCACTACAAGGTTAATCATTCCGATATTGAGCATACTATGGCTGCATAGACTCTTGCAGAGTTCCATCAATTAGATTTCTTTCTTTTTTTATTGTTTGTTATTATCCAAATTGATTTCTTTCATTGTGGTCTGAATGTTAAACTCATATTCTTGGAAGTTCAAACCTCAGGTCTGAACACATTCCCTGCCTAGAAAGGGTGTTGAAGATGAAGTTTTTCTTTGTGCATTCAATATCACTTGTACTCTACACATCAGAGAATTTGATATTATCATTTCTCATATAATAGTTGGTCCTTTTTTGCCTTGATTGCTTGACTCAGCAAAAAGTAGATAATGGTGAGAATTGCACCAACACTCTTTTGTCTCAGAACAAAAAAAACAATCACTTGGCATTTTTCACTTGTCCGCAAAATTAATATTTCACAGCAAATGTGTCTACTGATTCAAAAAAGCTCATACTGATAGCAAATCCTTATAAAAAATAAATGTGTCACTGTGATATTCACACTGCAACCACTCCGGGAATGCTAATGACTGGCACATCTTGTGCTGTGTGCACAGCAAACCACGCGTTCTTTCCAACAGCTGTGGCTACACTGGTGATGATAGCTCCACTCTGGATCAAAGCACTCACTACAGTGCCCAAGTTGACCTGGGTGTCCTGTCCTTGGAATAGTGCCAGGTGGGAGCCTACCAGCACTCCTTGCTCGAAGCGGGCATCATCAATTGCCAACAGATAAGGCAAATCGTCAGCTTTCACAGTACCTATTGAAAAAAGGAAGGTCTTGTTAGAAATGCACATACTTTGTCACTTGAAATTCCCTTTCTTTTAAAATGTTTTTTAGAAAGATTCAAAATTTTACTGAGCTTACTTAGATTTTATTTGTGCATGTAAATTGAAATAGATGGAAGCCAAAAGTATCCTCACCTATTACTGAATGAGTGCCAGCCTGTGGGTGGACAGTAGTAACACGAACTGTGCGCAGGTCTCCACCGTTGTGAGTTAATGCCACAGAAATGCCAGCTTCCTTTGCCAGAGTGGGTGCGTTAATGAGGTTAAGCCCATTACTGGTGTGTCCTGCAAGCATTCCTGCCAGGACTGAAGTGGTCAAGAACTTCATGTTCTCCATTCCTTCACCTAAAAATAAGCAAAATGTTCAAATAAAATGGTGAATCCTAATTCCCCATCTGGCAGAGGAAATACAATTGCTCATTTTTATTACAGTACCAACCTGTTGTAACAACTTGGATGGTAGTCTTGGGCACAGCTCCTTGAATCATGCGCGCACTGAGTTTGCCCAGTTCCTTGGCCAGGCTGATCCAGGGCACATTGCCTTGATTCATGGTGGCTGCCAGCACAGGTGCATTCACGACACCTGTGACTGTGAACTCTGATCTGACGTGAGGAGGCACATTGGTTGCTAAGGCCAAGAACTGTTCAGCAATCTCAACTGCAACGCGTTGCTGTGCCTCTTGTGTGCTTGCCCCAAGGTGAGGTGTTGCTACGACAGCTGGATGGCGAATGAGGGAAAGAGTTGGCTCAGAACGAGGCGGTTCCTCAATGAAAACATCCAGTCCTGCTCCACCACAACGTCCATCCTAATGAAACAAGAAAAAAGATTATTCAAAATAGAAAGAACAATATGTATTCTCTATTGAATGATTTTTTTTAGTTTATTTAATATTGTTTTTCAATTGCTTAGTCATATTGTGACCACTGTAACTTTTAACTTTTGCGTGACTGTGGGGGAACTCATACAAACAACATACACAAACAGCCCGGGGTCAGATTCGAACCCACAACCCTTCAAGCCAAAGCTGCTACCGCCTTTCAGCCTTAGTGACCTCGGCTATCCTGGCCGGCACGAGTGATTTTTGTGCAAGAGAAACTGGGATGTTGCTGCTGCACTTACATTAAGAGCTTGTAGAAGAGCTGCTTCATCCACAATGCCTCCTCGGGCACAGTTAATAATCCGCACACCCCTCTTGCACTTATTGAATACAGCATCGTTAATGAGATCTGCAAAACATTCCAGATATTTGAATTAGGAGAGACATTTCAATGAATTCTGCACCTTACATTTTTTTAATGTAAAGAGACAACCCTGAAAACTGCCTCTGAGTTACAAGTTTTTGCCATTTTTGTAAGAATGGGTAAATGTTCTTCAAGTGTTCTCAGAAAATAGAACATTTAAATTAAAATTTATTTACTGAACTCTTACTTGCGCTTTTGTATAAAACTATTATTAAGATTTAATTAAATTAAATTTAAATTTGCTTGCTAGTTTTCTTTATGCCTGTGTCAGACGTAAAATAGGGTAGGCATTCAATTGTTTAGATTTGCACTCACTTCTTGTCTGGGGAATGAGTGGTGTGTGGATTGTGATGAAGTCAGCCACGGGCCAAATCTCATCCAGTTCCATCTTTTGGACTCCAAATGATGCTGCTCCTTCTGCTGTTACCATGGGATCAAAGCCTACAGTCTGCAAACCAAATTATTTGAAGTATGTTATTTGAGTTAAAAAGAAAAGGTTAGAAAGAAGTGGAAAATTAGATAAAGAAAATGATTGGCATGGATATAAAATCTTTGTTATCACTAAGGATTTTGGAATAAAGATATTGGTAAATGTTATTCCAATTATGTAATGAGTTATTTGAGGTAAACACGATTTATGTGAACCTACCTTCATACCAAATGCTTGCATACGAGAGGCAACTTCTCGGCCAATGCGTCCAAGACCCAGTACGGCCAGAGTCTTGCCAGACAGCTCACAGCCAGTGTAGAGCTTGCGATCCCATCGCCCTTCCTTCAAAGATTGGCAGGCTGGGGCCACATTCCTTTAGGAAAAGCAAAATCATGTCTCAGAATGGAAAATAAATTTGTATTTGGATGTGCTAAGTTTGATAAGTTGAAATATGTTCTCCTTGTCTGCTGTAAAAATATATACAAGCGGAACATACTAATTTGCTTCTCACTCACCTTGCAAGAGACATAATGAGAGAGCAGGTCAGTTCACAGGCACTGATAGAATTTCCACCTGGAGTGCTGCAAACAGAAAAGCGGTATAAATATTTTTGAAGCATCAACATATTATTTTGATTTTAAAATAATGGAACAAAAGTAATTCACTATTTGTCAGACAGTTATTTGAAAGTTATGTTAATAAAGTACACATTACTCACTTTAGTACTATAACACCCTTTCGAGTGGCTGCCTCAATATCAATGTTGTCAACTCCAGTGCCAGCACGACCAACAATACGCAGGTTTGGTGCTCCAGCCAGCACTTCAGCAGTGACCTTGGTGTCAGACCGAACAATCAAGCCATCGTGGTTCTGCAGAAAAAAATAAAATTGATTTTATTTGCTATTGAAGTCAAAATATTTACTTTATGTTTGAAACATTACAACCCTTTTAGTGTTTTGTTGTGTATTAATAATTATTGTCTTTTGTTAGATGTGTAGCACTGACAGTTTTCTTCAAATTAGACTATAGATGAAATAAAGCAAATTATTTCTTGACAGGCAAGTTATATTTTTAATGTAAGAAGGAAGGCCTTGGCAGGGGATGTGATAGTAACAAATCATTCTGTTAAGCTTCATTTGGCTTATTCTGAACTGCTCAGTATTAAACGTTTGTCATTGACACATCACATTTAACTGGATAATGGGCCAGCAATTTGGAATGAATTCATCTCGGCGGTTGAAAGTACGAGCACCTATTATTCAATAGCGTAGTGAGCATCGTCACTATTTCGCTCTACGTATGGATCTAGGATGTTGATACGTATCTCAGAATTACTACAAAGCAACATTGTCCTCCCAGACCTTTAATAGGTACTTCATTCTCTTTTCGCGAAGTTTCGTTATTAGTGAAGAGCGCGGCGGCAACATTCTATGTCGCGCGCCAAAGCCGGTTGGGCGGAAGTGGACAGAGGACTTCGCATCGTCAATTGAGGCGCAGGGAGATTTGCTCTATGAATGACGCTCGGCTACTCTTTTTCTTGATGCGTGTCACCTTCAATTGAGTAAAGTGAGCACTAGACGGCGTTTGACCGTTCAATGAAGGGGTGTCAAAGAGAAAGCGTGTTGGAAGGGCGCCAGAAGACGTTGCGCATACACGGGTCGTGCTCTTCGTAGTTACTGCACACCACTGCGCACTTCTGCAGGCATTCATCTGTTGGGTGGTAAGCATCGAAATAAAACGAAACCAGTTGCTTGGAAAATAGTGCTTAGCCGGACGTATTGGAGGTCTACTCAACGCGACAGTGCACGATATCAGAAGAGAAATTTCACTCTGCCGTTGATTATGTAACAAATTGTGTTTTTCTATCTTGTCACAGTTCGAGAAAATATCTTAAAAAGCTTTAATTCCCGCATGATACGACAGCCCAGGAATTTATTCTCTAATATGCTCTCAGTGTTAGGAAGCTACATGAATTTCTATTTGGGTTTAATCTTTCGAAATACACTATTTATCTTTTTCCAATCGTCCCAGAGGACGAGTGGATTTGGAGGATTATTTTCGTTCGATAACGTATAGTTTTGACGAGGCGCAGAAGGCCGTGATCTGGTGTCAAGGGAGCTCATGTTTGGGTGCCTGCATCCCTGAGGTCGGGTCACCTAGACATTTGTAATAACAAACAGTGCGATTGATCGAAATGAAATTGTACCATATTACTGTCTAAGACAGTTCGATCTTTCGAGGACGGTCTGTAAAATTGTTTTCATGCGTTTTAGATAAATCATATCTACGGCGTTAATGGTATTACCACAGATTCGACGTTTCCTTGGGTCCACGATAGCACAAATAATCGAGAGTTCTCTGTTCATGTAATCATGATTACATGAATAGTCATACTGAAAAAACAAACCGATCACATGGAAATAGTCAACATCTTCGTTCCCAGATACTCTAGCGTTAAAGCAAATATCTTCAATACACGCGTTTAATTATGTATTTACATCCTGAAGGGGAGGGGACGCGAAGTAATACATGCTTCTATATAGTAGGAAAGCTCGTTACAAAGGACATCCTGATGTATGAACTCACAGCCCGAGTTATCATTCTCACGTGCAACCTACTACATGGTTTATTACGCCAATATGGACTGGTCCGCGAGGGAGGTCTAATTTATAGTTGAACGCTTGAATGTATTGGATCCTGGAAGTCAAAGCCATGACTGGATCTTGGTTTTTAATACACATTTGTCGGTAGCTGCGACAGCCATCGGCGCGCGCTCGCGCGTGTGTTTGTCAGCGGAGGGGAGTGAGGTCGCGGCTTGTCGCGCTATCTGAGGTCAGCGGGGCGCGCTATCGGCCCGCTGCACCGGTTATTTCCAGATTAGCACTTTTATCGCCGGCCGAGCCGGAGGCGAAGGCTAACGAGTGGCGCGCTCTATTGCGCTAGCTCATTTGTTTATTTGCCGATGTTGCAGTAGATGAAGTCACATGTGTATGGGAACTGGAGCGACCATGAAGACAGATTTCATGGCAGGGACATTGGACGCAAACGTAAATTAAAGGCAATAGACGGTGGGGGGGTGGGGGGCGCTACTTTTCTGGGCTCTTTTTATCATCCCACTTTTTTATTTATATAATGACGTACTTTTCTAGGAAACAAATAAAACGTACTACAATGGGATTAATGATTCAAGTGATCACTGCAATTGTTTTTATGATGCACTATTTACAGGGTTGCCAGATGGATTGGAGAGACTTTTCTAAATGTCGTGCATCAATTCCCCAAATTGTCAGCTTAAAAAAAGGGGGGGGGATGAGGAAACGATACTGTTTACGGAAATAAAATGTTATACTACGTAGTTCTACGAGGCCTGTCTTTTTATCATCTTCATTTGGACCTTGCCCCCCTGACCTTCCCTGTACGCACGCGTAATTTTATTTTGAATTTCGGAACCGTCATTCTGAGCACCGGCTGTCCTTCCACAGGTGTCCCAGAAAGTTAACACGGCGGCGTGTGCGTATGATCATGGCCTGCTTGCAGTCAGAGACGTTCTCGAGGGCCGTGATGCAGAAGGTTGCCATCTCTATTGGGGGTCGGCGGGTGACTTGCAAAATTGGGAGCACGTGACTCCGGCGGCCGCGCCAATTAAGTGTATCCCTGGCAAGGAGAAGTTTATATTTTTACAGCAGGGGTCTACCACAGTTTTTCGGCGGGGAGGGGGGAGATCAGAGTCTCCTTGTCAATTCGCACTCTTCTGTCTTGGCTTACAATCTTCTGATAATGCAGGTCAACTGTAGTTTTCTAGAATTAGCTTATCAACGCAAGTAAAATGAGTGGAATATTCGCAGGCTGGGCTCGAATAACAAGTAGTTGACGTAGGATGAGTGTGTGAGAAAATAAATAATGGATTCAGAAATCAAGGCTGTCAATATTAGCAAAATATGATTCACCATTCGCTGTATTCTGCTTTTGTCAGCGTTTAAACTATCACCCACCTTCTTCAGTAATGGCGTTAAAAAATCTGTGAAGAAATGAAGGTGAACCTATAGAAGACACATCATGAAAAACCTTCACGTGAAATCATCTCGGAACATAATTACGCATGTGAGAAATATAAACAATTTTTCGGATATATAAATCGTCATCAATTGAAATTATACCTCATTAACGATCTGTAGTGCATGCAGCCAAACGATCAAAATATATAGTTATACAGTATAGGGTTTAAATACCATTAACCGCGTAGCGAGTGAGGGTTCCCTTATATCACCTCGACTCTATGCAAGCAATGAATACAGCTACGAAATCTAAATGCAAACCGACTATTGAACCATTGATCTAAATTTCAACTTGTTCATCACCACGCCCACTGCAAGAAATGAGCCCGGCGAAGATACCTAGACACGAAGATATAAGATTAGATTTGAATAATTTGCATAGGTTTTGGTCTATGAGCGACGATGATATTATTTGTATGATCTTAAAACAATGTTGGATTGAGAGGCAGAAATCAGTCCCAGAAAATGATGTCGCGAACTCGCTTAATCTACCCCAAATTCCTCAAGGTTCGAACGGCATTCTAAGTATCCAGAGGTGGAAGGTAAGCAGGCTGGCCAAATACATTATGAGTTGTCCCATCCCAGTTACGAGCATAGACAGGAAACCGAATAAAATGCAGACTGTACTCCCAATCAAATGGAATGACTTGTGACAGATCATCAGCTGGACGCGGTTATCCACTGGGAAGCTTCGCGACGATTTAATTTCTTTTTATTATAGCTCTCGATTGGTTTACCGCGTCACTTTATAGCACGTCGGATGTCAACCATGGGCGTGAATCGCGAAACACGTGCGGGTTCGCGTGCTCCGACACGCCGCCCCCCCCCCCGGCAACCACCTGCCGGCAGGTGGGCGGGCGGGCGGACTCCGAGCACGAACAGGCGCGGTTGCCATGCGCCGCGGGCGGCGGCGGCGGCGGCGGCGGCGGCGGCAGCTGGCTGTTACGGCGTGCAGCGCGCGGGCGGGGCGGGGCGGGCACGCCTCCGATCCGGTTATATCCAGTTGCCGCGCTGACCGGCCGGCCGGCCGCACACGCTCCCGCCTCCCCGCCTCCCCCCTCCCGCCGCCGGCCCCCGCGTGGGGCGAGCGCGAGCGCACAAGGCGCGTCCTAGAGACTAGGTCGGCGCAACGCAGACCCCCACTGCGCCGGCTGACGGCGCGAAGCGAGCGAACGTTGTTGACAGCATCCCTTCTCGGCGACCTGCCCCGATAATGACTCTGGCGTCTCTGGCAAGTTTGCTTTTTGTTGTTGTTTTTTGGGGGAGGAGATGTCACGAGATATGATTTAAATGTCAGTACTTCCCCGGAATTTTATTTTAAAACGTTCCTGAATATGTAAAAATCACCACTTATGTCACAGCATCTTCAGAAGGCTAAGTAAATTTTGTTATGTGCGAGAGATAACGTTATTCAGCAATATTATACGATACTATTTCTCAACAACGTTTTTAGTTTTTAAACAGAGCTAAAACCGCTGGTATTAGTAACCTTATCATATGTCTGCCCCAAATATGATAGATTGGGTTAGTTAAAACTTCGTATATGGTAATATCACTTGGAATGACAATAACACTACTAAATGAAAATATAGAAGGGGCGTGACCTACCGTGCCCTTCTACCAATGACGCCTGTATGGTGGTCGTGTGGTGCGAATTGGCATTCAAAAGTCCATGTGGGGTGACGAAAAAGAATTCATGAGAGAAACGAAGGCAACACAGTCTGAATGAATCTTAAGAATTCTTTCCGGAATGTTTTCGTGTCCAATTTCGTTAATTAGAAATTTCACAGTCCGGAAATCTCAAATGAGACCCGATATGGATTAACTGTTCTATATAATCTTGCATTTAATTGTAAGGTGTATGCAAGGCAAATTAAAATTAACAACACATTAATGTAATACTAAAACTTGAACACAGCCTTTTCTGTGAAATAAGATCAGTCGGACAATTTGTTGTAGCTGTCATTGATCAAATTGGTGAATTGTATGAAAGAACTCCACGAACCGTTCGCGCATCACCATATTTAAACAACATACTTATTTGAGTATTGGTTCCCAGACAGCATAGAAGCACAAGGCGGACGACCTCTACCAAGGAGTAAACAATTAGAGGTCATTCCATTGACACAGCCCTCGCGTCGTTCAGTTGACTCGCAACAAAAAAAGGTTAACTTCGCATTTCGACTCGCAACAGCACGTGGAGCGTTGCGCAACACCCCGCTCGCGAATTTCAAGTCAACAACTTGTTTACTTCCTGGAGAGAAGGTGTTCGAGTGTTTGGAAGGAGGGCGAGGGGCGGTGCATGCGTGTTGATACACTCGGTGCCGACGAATCGAGTACAAAGAGTTGCCTCGGAGCAGCCTCTTTGTATCGCGCGAGAGAGTTGCTCTGAACTGCCCTCGATCGGGGTCGATGAGACCGTTACGTCCCTCGTTCCATATACTTCCGTTACTCTCATGGCTCATTCAGTAACCGTGCGATTAGAACTTCGTTACGTGACCACACATCGCAGTCTACACGCCAAAGAAGGAGAAAAACAAATATAAACTAGGTCTCAAATATTATTTGTAGCCGTGTGTAGAGTATCTTACTAGATACGATGCAGTGTTGGCAATTGACATTAGCGTAAAAGATTAGGAACCGGGTGCGCATCGGTGTGACGCACCACTTTCTGACTGAGCCCCCCTTTCCAGAAACAGTTTGGAGCACAGGATTTCACGACCGCTCGTTGGCGCGTTGAGAAGATATCTTGCGTTTCGAGATGTAAACAAGGTAATCTAGAATGACGCTCTCCGCCAGCTTTCCTTATTTCGAAGGCGCGTAATTTCAACATCAAATAATTAGTGACTGTGATAGTTATTTTGTAAGGTTCAGAAGAACCATTTTAAATAGGAGATTGATATTCTTGAGAGTTACAACGGGATATTTCTCGACGAAGTTCTGGATGTTTCAACTTGTTGCATGTGACTCATCTGGACACATGCGGACGTTTTCTTGAGCTCCGGAAAACACCCTTCTAATTTGCCATTCATAGTTTAATTATGAATAAAAGTTAGTTACGAACATTGTTGGTGACATTTTATGAAAACCCGATCTGGTTCTCGCGAATTAGAAAATATTTACCTCGGTAAGCGATAGTTTTGAACTGGTAGAACTGCTGAAATACTAAGTAAACTCTTACCTCCTTTCTCTTCTTAGCTAAATGAAAGCTCAGAAGAACGTGTGCGGGTAGTATATTCGGCAGCATTGAATCAATTACCGGTAATTCTCATGCAGGTGACTTGCGAACGACTTTCTGCATCAGAAGGCCGTGACCAGCGCCCCATGTTCAGCGGCTGCACCGCCTAAGCCGCCGCGTTGCCCGTGCGGCCTCGATGCGGCCTTGTCCTTGGCCTTGGCCTTGCCTGGGCGAGTAGGTGACGCATTCGGAACCCAGAAGCTTCCCCAAGATTCCTTCTTCCCTTCTACTCCGCCGCTCCCAACTATTTGCCTCGCGTTTTCTCCACCCACCCTGTCGTCATGATTCAAAATAAACGAGATACAATAATATTCTATGAATGCGATTTGTCGACTAAGACGCCTGTCACATGAGTAAAATGGCGATTTGTGACGTAGAAACTCTACTGGAGGTAAAAAACAACAACAAGATAGGGTATTGTCATCACTATCATTGTAATTGTTATTATAACGACTCATTGAAAAATTAGATCCATTAAAATCCATAAAATTAAAAAAGAGCCGAAATATATAGTTGACCGTTATAATTAAATCATAATAGACAAAATCCCTGTCTACGTTGAAGATCCCCTTTCATGTACTAAAACAGACTCCGCATCATACTTCCTAATTAATAGCACATTTGATAGATGTGGAATGTTACATCATTCTTTCCAAGTATATCACGAACCGTGGTAGTTAGCGATTCGTTTTTCACCCGGAAGTTTCCGAGTGTTCAAGATACGCCTTTAGTCCGCAAGTAACGATGCTACAAAGCTCTAATAGTTGCGTCATCGGAGAAGGTTCCTGCCGTCCCGTCCCCGGCCTCGCTCAGCCGCGTCCTCAGCGCGCGCCCTGTAGCGTCCTACGCAAGGCGAGCACGCAGCATGTTAGCATATCTTCTGCTCGTGCCAAGCACGACGCGCACTTCCGGCCGAGAAGCGTACGCGCGTTGCCTCGACAACAGCACGCACGTGCGTTGTCGCATCGCTTCGTTTGCAGGTCCGGCGAGGACACCGGCGCGTGGTGGCGCGGTCAGTTATCAGACGAGAGCTATTGAAGCACCTTTTTCTGTTACGTGATAAAGGTGTACCGTATATAGACGCGAATGAATTGAATTCATTTTATTGACTTTTAATAAAAGGTAATACTGATCCATGAGTGTTATGTGAGACTGCGCTACAAATTAAAAGATTATTCAAAAAATGTAATGTTAAAACGTATACCGAATCATTAGATTATATATGTTACAAAAGCAAGTTATAATTATCTGAAATGTTGTGCAACCGTCCGTAATACGTACTTACTGAATGATGTAATACTGTCAGAGAAATTCAGGGAAGATCTTAAATTAGCCCATTTTCTAATTCGTTTTGAATTTCGGGGAAAGAAATTTGTAAACACTATGTATGTTTTCCAGGTTTTATTGCACACTGCATTCAAAATCCTCTGGTTGCTCGTATAGGTTCGGAAACAGTAATCCGAAACGGCACCCCCCCCCCACACTTTTTTTAGGGAGAATTCTAACGGAACCTTTTCGCCACATCTCCTGTAACTAAGGTTAGCCAATCTCTGAAACGATACGAAATTGATTTGTGCACTTATGCCTACCTCACCTGATATCAAAGCACAATACGGAACGTTTGCAAATGATGAAATCTACTTTTTCTGGTTCTTGAATGGCAGACTTATTTTTACGCCGCAATGGTAGCGGTAGTCTAGCTATTTGTGTAGTAAACATCTCGTCTGAAAACTGTCTTTTGCATGCGCTTTGCGCGAACATCTGGTGGCTCTTACTCAACAGACGAGAGATGGCATAACTTGTACAGTCCATAGTGCACATGCTACGTCGGTATTTGCATGTCCTGGTTTGCTTTTTCTTTTACGCCTCGAACACCCTGATACCGCAACTTGAAAGGGAAAATGTAGCTATTCTATATTTCGACACGTCTGCGCGAATGTGAGGCGTTTAATCAGCAAATTTATTGTAACACATTTATCACAATATTGTTTTAATAACTTTCATTGCACAGTATCAGCAAAAAAGTGAACGACGTCATCACGCAGATATGACTGTTTTTTTGCGACACATTGGTTTGTAGAGACGGAGACTTCTCTACTTAGATAATAAGCCTGATAATAATGAGTCAATCTAATGGCTAATTGATTAAAGTTATAAAAACGTCACACATCTTTGACATGACTTATCATTTTATTGTTAGGGTGAATGTTATGTATTACGCAACAATTTCAAATATAGCAGGTTGATTTATTATAATTAATTCCATCACCTAACAAGTAATTTTTGAGACAAGAGTTCATACCTACTCATACGTGATCTTGTTCATGCATTTGCAATCTCTACCTATATTGGCTTTTGTTATGTTGGCTTTTGCGAGTCAAGCGACCACGCTGCAATGAAACATATCTGACGGAAAGCCTTATCAAAGAGATATATTTACTGAAGGAAACATGGTGCCAGTATGTTGCGCTGCCACATTGGTCTCATTTATACTGAAAGTCCCACGAAAAGCATTATTCTTCATTCGTACGATCTGTTTCGTCATCGCTGAATTTTTGTAATATATTTTTATTTTTGACAATAGCTAGACGTTAGATGAACCTCACCGACCTCTTCAGAACAGTAATGTAATGGAACTTTTCCGTTTATCTGCATATCTCCACAACAATACGTACGGGAACCTTCCGTTAATTTTAAATATATCGACTACTAATAAGTTTTGCCAAACGAGCATTTACATTCGGTGACTAACGAATCACATTTCTAACTCACTGAATTTTAAGGACTTTGCGCTCGTTTCGATTCGCGTATAACGGAACCTTATACTTCTTGCACGCCTGAGCAGCAATGCGGACTAAGTTTTTCCGTAAATTACTGTAAACTCTAGTGTTTATTTAAACATTAACATGGGGTAAACATTGCGAACGGCCTATAATACACTAAATTTTCAACCTCATTAATTACTTTTCATAACTTTGCCCACTGTTCTTCATAAAGAAATCCTTGACAATCGGTACGCCTCAACTAAGAATGCATATGGAATTCTTCCTTGAACTAAACTCCTGTTAGTATATTAGATATCTGTCTCGACGGAAGAAATGTTGGTTCCCAGCGAGGGGCTGAAGAAAAGATTTTCCCGCGAAAAGCGAGCTGAATTGCAGCGCGTGCATGTGTGTGCGTGTGGGTGTGAGTAGAGTCGAGCGGTTCGTTGAACGGGCTCACCTTGAGCTCGGCGATGAGCTCGGGCACGGGCAGGCGGTAGCGGCAGGTGACGTTGACGCCGTGCTCCACCAGCAGGTCCACGCAGCGGGCGTCGACGGCGTCGCTCACCAGCACGCTCTTGAGGGCCACGGCCATTGCGATGAGCGGAGGAGGGGGCGGAGAGGCGGAGAGAGAGAGCAAACGGTTGAGTGCGCGGTGCCGCGAGGGTCTGCTGCTGTGGGCGCGCGCCGCGCGTTTTATGCCGACGCGCTGGCTGCCGCCCGCCCCCCGCGCCCCGCCGACAGACCTCGACGCGTTCCCGCACGCCGCCGCCGCCGCGGAGAGCGCCGCCGTTGCTAGCGGCTACATGCAGCTGGCGACGTTTGCTGCTGCTGCCCTTTTCTTGTTAATTACTACTTTCCTCGTACTCTTCTTCTTAGTCTCTTTTCTAGTTTTCTTCTTCTTCTCGCCTTCCCCCTTTTCACTTCATGCATTTTGTTGTTCTTTTTTCATTCATTTTCTTCTTCCTTGTTTTATTTTTCTACCCTTCTCATCACTTTCTTTCTTTCTTTCTTTCTTCTTTTTCTTCTTCTTCCTCTTCTTCTTCTTCCTCATCTTCTTCTTCTTGGTCATAGTCGTCGTCGCATTCTTCTTCCTCTTCTTTTTCTCCCCATTATCTCCCTTTTCACATCTTTGATTCTCTCGTTTCATAGTTCTTTTATTTTCATTATTTTTATCCTACTTGTCCTTCCCTACTCACAACACTCCATTTCTTCTTCTTCTTCTTCTTCTTCTTCTTCTTCTTCTTCTCATTTTCCTACTTTTTATTCTTCTTCTTCGCCTCTTCCCCCTCCTCCGTCTTCTTCTTCTCCTCTTACTTTTTTTATCCTCCCATTTCGTGTTCTCGTTTCTTTTTCGTTATTTTCTGTCATTTTGTTTCCTCTTTGATTTAACTACAAAAACAAAACACGGCACTAAGCTTCATCAACTCCCAGGGCACTCGCGCGAAGCATTAAAAAATACCAGCCATTCCTCCACTGCCTTTGTTTCCCCGTTGCGTGTTCGTCGGAGGCCTGTCCAGAGAGGATGTAATGGGCTTGTCTCCCTTGGCGGCGTTTGACGCTGCAGCAACATCTCTGAACGGCCTGCGGGCAGGGAGGAACTGGCGGCTACGGAGAAAGGCACCTGGATTATTTCTCACCAGGACTCGTCTTCTTACTTTTGCATTTTGTCATATTTCTTTGCTTCTTTCATTTCAACCCATTGTACAGAGTACTCTCATTGCTTTCTCCTTTTTACTGTTCTCATTCTTTCTCCCTTTTTGATACACCGATAAAAATTGTAAACTATTTTTTGTTAGAAATAACTATTTATCCTTCTACTCATCATCTTTTAGTACATCCCTTTCTTTGTGTAAATTATTCTACGCCGTTCGCCTTGTCTGCTCTTTTTATTCCCTTTTTTGAGCTTAATTTTTACCATCTCTGCATGTTTTTCAACTTTGTTTTATTTTCCGATTCCCATTCCTCGTTGTATATGGATCGATGGACAGAATTCTTCAGGATTTCATCATTCCAGGGCATTGCGTAAATGAATCATAGGTCTTTCGAATGCATTTGTCACAAGTCTGTGAACTTTCGATAAGACTTTCAAACTGTGAGAAACATTGCGCTGTATTGTATAATTCTAAACACTCGAAGTAAGAGGGTATAAAGCAACTTGTTGGTGTCGCAATCATAATTAATTTATTATCGGTAATTCGTTATGAAACGATTACACTCGAGGGTATCCACTCATGACATGTAAAAGTGAATTAAGTTCACGGAACGAATATGACCATAGCCCAGATTTGTGCAAGGAAGAGGGGCAAATTTTCAAGTTTTATCACTACTAATTATTGATATTATTTTGAATTTAAATATTTATATGACTTGTTTTCATTAACAATATAAATATTTTAAAAATTGATTTCGTATATAAATTGTGTATCTTTATTTATTTTCTGTATTTCTAGTTTTTCTTTTTTTTTGGGGGGGGGATGCATTTATCTGGTTGTACCCTGGCTATGTGTATTGTCATTGTTCAATATATATATATATATATATATATATATATATTATAATACATATAAAACACTACATACATCTCGCGAATCAAACTGGAAGAGATAGGTTTCACCACAATTTTGACGGGAAATATTGAGTATTCTGTCCGATCATGTACTATTATCATCTAATACTAAATAACTTGGCATTGCAGAGTATTATGATTCAATAAATGGTTGAGGGGTCTTCATCTACATCGCAACGTTTCTAAAGCTATCTTTTGAAACTCGTGGAGTGAAAGCAAATAAGTATTTGACAATTCACGCCAAATTTCGCAGATATACATGAAAGTCGTACATTATTAAAATAATTGATGCAGACGTATTGAATTGATTCCTACCATGCCAGATCTTCGAGATGGTTTACTACATGTTTGTCAAGAGATGGAAACGGCCAGAGAATTTTGCATGTCCTTCACTTATCGTTCTGTATCCATGTGAAAATAATCGGGTACCGTTAATTAAATAATTATTAATCTTAATTTTGATTCTTAATTAAATCATTAATTAAAGATATCGACGACATATAATTTGCACAGGATTTGATGGTGAAATTACGTTAAAATAGTAATTGCATGTTACTTGTTCTGAGACGCAGTGCACTTTGTCTGGTTGAAACGTATTTATTACTTACAAATTACAACTTTCTCTATTGTGTAGTGCAATGAAAGTGTGTCGCACTAAGAGAAATAAAATTTAAGTACAATACTGTATGTTCTTTGGGTCATTATAAATCTAAAGCAACTTTCGGACTTCAATACATTTTTTGACATATATTTTTTATTTGTATCATATTAGTGTTTAAAAATAAATTTTCACTGAGGAGATGTCTATGACGAGGGCAATGCAATTTTACATTTAGTGCATTAGGAATCAAATGCATATTTACTGTATTTCTTCTTCGCAGTCTAGAATCATTAACATATTTGGAAGATTATATTATTACATAGAAATAATTCCATAATTAATTACTTAATTCTTATTCCCGAAATGTGTATACCATTACAAATTACAGATTTTATTATAAGCGACGAACGACATCCCAAACCTAAAGTGAAACGTCTTGACCATCAATATTGAATGTCATCAATTTTGTATTCGACATCTCACTCTAAGATTACAACAGGAAATATCATCATGCTTGCATGGCAGTTAGTTCACAAAACGATAAGGATGTAAATCGAAAACCAAGATTACAACGTTAAGAACGTTAATTCCAAGTGTGAGGTCATGGAATGTGGATAATACAAGTTAATTGCACTGCTGCTTGAAGAAAATACCAAAACGTTACGAAAAAAGAACAGTTATGTCATTCAAACGAAAGCACCAAGGACACCGTCACAGGAAAATGTTTCTACTTAGCATGATATGGTTTCAATAGCGATTGCATTATACTAGATTCTCTTTATTGGGCTGTAATAACTTCTAATAATTACTCCCAACACTGCATTCATTTGATTTATTAAATATATGTGGTGTGTTTATGAGATGATCATTTTAAAACATTCGATTTTATTTCCAATAAAACACTATTTTACGATAGTGTAAAATATATATATATATATATATATATATATATATATATATATATATATATATAATTTAAACAATTCTTAGCAGTTATTTTTTAAACCACAAGCTTAATTACATATTTTACACCCCATTACCTCACTGGACGGGTTATAATAGTTGGGCTGCTCGCCTAGTGCTGAGGTCGGGATTCAAATCCTGGTCGATCCATGTGGGGCGTGGGTGGAAAAAGTGAGTTTCTGGCAGATTTTCTCAGCGTTCTCCTATTTTCCCCTGCCTTTTTTCCCACCATTGCTCCATCATCATTCAAATCGTATAATCGCCACCCATTCATCAAACCATTCATCTCACTCGGCTATGGCCTTCAAAGCTAAAGACTGAGAATCATAACGAAGGTCATTGCATTTCCCTATAAGAAGAACAAAACAAAACATCAATACAGAGAACTATGAGAGAGAGAGAGAGAGAGAGAGAGAGAGAGAGAGAGAGAGAGAGAGAGCGTGAGAAAGAGAAAAAAGAGAGAAAGACAAAGGGAGGAGGAGAGAGAAAAAGAGAGACGGAGATAGATACTCAACGAATCTGTTACATATGTGTCATGACACCAATGTAAATGATATATGTGTCCATGTTCGTCAACGGCTATTGTTAATGATTCCATAAGTGTAGTGAGTGTTAGATCGTTTTTGGTGGCGGCGTTCCTTCAAGCTGTAACGTGAGATCCGGTGCCGATCTGCAAGATCTCTAGACGTCCCTCCTCACGGCGACACACCGCCTCAGCCGGGACAAGCTCTAAACTCCCGACATGTGCTAGTGTAGTGCATGAGTGCATGTGTACAGGGAGAAGAAGGGAGGGGGAAGGAATGATCGCGAAGGATCCGTGATCCCTTTGTTAGGGTACTGCTTATTCGCCTGTTATTGATTTCAGAAACCACGTAAAACAACGGATCATAGCAACCGTACACTAGAATTCTCCTCCAGACTGGCTGAATTCGATCTATCTATCGAGTATCGAAAATCCGCCACCACTGGGCCTCAAACCTCTACAACCTCCCGCCAGAGCTTGTAGTAGTAACAGTGGTCCTGAGTGAACCCTGTCGGCCCCAAATTTAGAAATGTGTCTGTTGATTGCTTGCTCCCGGGCGGATCGAACGAAAAATCGCCATGTTTTTAGAAAGTCCATTAGCCTTCATGAGAGGGCACATGTCGGTGTATGTGTCGGAGTCCGAGCGTCAGTTGGCGGTCGAGGGGCAGGCAACGCGATCGCAAAAAGCGGTCGCGCGAGTGAGCCGGAGCGTCCGCATGCGAGATGGAGCCCCGCCCGCTATAAGAAGGGTAGCGGCGCGGCGTGGCAAAATCGAACGCGTAGAGAGCTGCTCTAAGACGGGGAATTTTCGCCAAGTGTTGGTGATCAAATACTATTTTACTGAAGTGTGGGACATTAAACATTTCGAAAATTATTTAGACCGACTGAGATGGCTAGAGGTATCGACTGATATCACTACAGAGGCTCTGATCGGAAGGTCCTAGGGTTCGACAACCGACGGTGGCAGGAATTCATACACTAGCTTGATAGCTAGGTCGGATTCAGCCGCTGTCGGGAGGATCATTCTGACGGTCAGCGGCTCTGATCTGAAGTTTTTCGTGTTTTTTCTTATCAACACCAGGCGA